TTGAAAAGCAGAGAGAGAGAGAGAAAAGGAAAGATGGAGGGAAGGAGTGAGGTAGGGGGACAGAGAGAGAGAGAGAGAGAGAGGGAGATACATCAACTGTTGGTTCACTCCCCAGATGGCCGCAATAGCCAAGACCAGGCCAGGCCAAAGCCGGAAGCTAGAAAGGAACTCAGTCCAGGTGTCTGACATGGGAGGCAGGGACCCAATTACCCGAGTCATCCCTGCTGCTCCCTAGGGTCCGCATTAGCAGGAAGCTGGAATCAGGAAGAGATTCAGGACTTGGAGCAGGGATTTGAACCCATGCACTCCAATCTCAGACGTGTGCATTTAACTGCTGTGCCAAAAACCTAGACCATGCATTAAAAAAAAAAAAAAAATTGCTCTCCAAATATTTAAAAAATTTAAAAATTTGGATATCTCAGATTCAAAATTGGATATTTCAGATTCAAAAATCCAGAATTCCACTTTTTATTGGGAAAATATCAACATTTGGCCGCACCAAATGTTGCATTTCTGCCTGACAATAATTGGCTGGAGCTGAGTGGCAACTGCCCCCTTTGGATGGGAAAGGGGCTCTCTCATTTGCCAGTTTCCACCACTCCCTGAGTCTCAGCCACTGCACCAAGTGGTTGTTGCCAATTCTGAGTTTTCTTTAAACAGAAACATTCTTGCCATCTCTGATTGTCTCACCCCTAGTTTGCCTTCTGCATCCAAGGTTACTGTTGACCTCGCAAAGCGCCTGAGTCTGCAACCTTTGGTCCAAACCAGGTCAAAAGGAAGCCCACTGCAGCCGCCTCTGATGGGTGTGTTCTCTTTCCTGTCTGATTGCAGGGGCCTCGGGGAACCAGCCCGCCGGGAACCCCAGCCCAGGGGGCGCACCTGCATCCAAGTCCTGTTGCATCCAGTAGCTGCTCAGCGATCCGCTCCCAGAATGGCTCCATCCTTTCGTGGGAAGAGATTAGCCAAGCCAGTGGAAAACCATGCACCTTCTTGAGAGGCAGAGTCGCAGAATTTGGAAGCTGATCAATCTTATCTAGTGGCTTTAAAACGTCTTCTTAGCCTTGAGCACTGTCTGTGGAGCTAAAACCCACATCCCAGCTTTCCCAGACATCAGTTAGACATTTAATTAGTGCCAGTTCCACCTGATCACTTAGAATCTCTTTTGTTCTTATACTTTCATTTCATGTTCTATTGTAAAAGTGTTCAATTATTCAGCAAAGTAGAGAATTGCGCATTGAAGTCCCATGTACTCATCACTCAGATTCCGGTATCAAGATCTGGGCACACTTGCTTCACCTGTTTTTTGTTTTACATTTACATTGACATCTATTTCAATCTTTCCTTAGTGGGAAGGATTCAAAGGCAAATTCCAGCCGCATGGCCCTACTCCTCCACTACACATATTTAAAGGAAGAAGGGTGTTTTCTGACACAATCACATCTTACCACATGCACCAGGTACTCAGCTGACACTAGGTTATGTATGTTGTGATGAGCCAGGCTCCCCCTTCAGTCCAGGAATGGGGGCCTAGGAGTCGTGTCTTCTGCAGACAGTCCTCAGCCCATCTGGGTCTTCTCCAGGAAAGCCATTTCTCCATCTTAGGCCAACAGAGATGACCCTGCAGGACCAGTAACCCCAGGACTCCACGAGGAGTTCACCGAGGCTGTGGCTGGACTCACAGCCCAGCTCAACCGCTCCCCCTGCTCACTCCTTACCAAGCAACCCACAATCCTCTTCCATTTCAGAACTGGCTTTCTGGGGATCCCACCTTGTGACACCAACAAAAATGTCTTCAATAGGTGGCTTGCTTGAATCCAGTCCAAACAAGTTTCACCCATAGAATTTAACTGTTCTTTGTTGGAAAAAGAAGATACAGTTTTTAGTCTTGGATTTCCCATTGATTTTAAGGAGTATAAATTTAGGCAAATTATTCTCAGTTTGTGAACTTGTTTCAATGAACAGGTTTTCTATTGTTTAAAAACAGAGCTTATTTCTTTAAAAGCCCATGCTGGCCAGTCGGCCATGCCTGTAGGATGTCACAGGCCTGATGAGCGTTTACATCATAGTAACTGGTGCTAAGAACAGCACAACTACACCACAAGTTGAGAGTGACAGTCACCTGCTGAGACATTTGCAGTAAGTTCCAGCGATATTTGCCCCAGTTTTAATTTTCCATTTTCTCCTGCTGCTCCAGCGTGATTGAGGCACAGCTGACAAGTACAACCTGTACCTATTTAAGTGTCGAATGTGGGGTGTTGATGCACGCATACATTGTGAAATGATGGTCGCAATCAAGCGAGCACACCCCCCACCTTCCATGGTAACAGTTGCTACGTTTTTAAGTCTCTCTTAACGGCACTGCTTCCTTTTTCCCTTTGCAAATGACTTGTTGCAAAAGCAGGATCAGTTGGCCCCCATTCTGGATTTATGCATCTGTCTGTCACAGCGTCTGACACATTCTGCCCTCCTCCAAGTAAGACATTCACTGAACCGGTCTTCCTCCCAAATGGAGTGTTCTGCAGAATCAAATCTATTAAAGCGGTCGCTCCGAGGCGAGGGAACCACTGCTCTATTCTCAGCTCCCTTTTTATACAAACGAGGACATTGAAGGCCAGTGAGGGAACAAGGCTGGGGCGAGTTCATGGTTCAGTTCCTTGGCTATGCGCCACATGGAGATGCCCAGGGTCAGACAACACAGTGCATACAGGCTGCACGTCCTGGTGGCTTCCACCATGGACCAACCTGGGCTCCCGGCACACGAACACTGACACTGTGCTCATGGGAGCTGGGTCTGGAGCTCCCATGCCAGCTTCCTGCCTCGCTGCAATGCATACTCTAGGAGCACCAGTCTTTTCAGCAGGGGCATGTCAAGTGCATGTCAAGTGCAGTGCCAAGTGGAAGGCAGTGAGCAGACCCAAGTGTCACCCAGGAACATACAGGCATTGAGGCTGCCGGCCCTGGCTCCCACTCCATGTCTGAGTCCCTTTGGCAGGTTCCTCTGCTCTGCTTCTGCGCCTTCTCAGTCCTTGCTTGGCCGTACTCAGAGGGCTATGGTTAGCACCCAGGGAGACTGCCCGATGAGGGTTACAGCTAATGGTAAGTGCTTGTGACATCCTAGGTACTGTTTCATCCTCACAACAGCCTTATCAGGAAGAAACTCTTGTGAGCCCTGTTGAGTCCATGACTCAGAGAGGTTAAGAAACGCGCCCTCCAGTGCCCAGCTTGGAAGTGGTGAGTCAAGATCCAAAGCCAGGCAGTCTGACAGCCGGTCCCAGCAGGCAGCCATTCTCCCTGTCTCCCTGCATCGCCCTGCTCCTGCAAATCAGCTCTTTTTGGAACACAAGGAGCCTCTGAATTCATTTAAGCTCATCATTGCCTTTCAGACTTGGGAAAACCGGGAGCCAAAGAGGTGGTTTGTCCAAGTTCACATGAAAGGAAAGTGGCAAGGCCGGCTCAGAAGCTGCCAGTGATCCCAGCTCAGTCTGAAATGGATCGTTTCTGGGTCAGACAGGGGCATTCATCCACGCAAATATGCTTTGTGGTGAGTTTTCCGAGAAAAGCATTCTTCAGAACACTTGATTACAATATGGCATAAATGTGTTTTCATATGCCTGCTATGTTAAATATTATTATACAGAGCTACTACCTTGGCAAAACCTTAAAGATTACCCCAAATATTGATACTAAGTCCACCAAATGACAAAATATACCACATACAACACCTGCAGGTCTGAACACTCTCAGGCTCCCATTTGATTCCTGTATCAAGTGTGGTTCACTCAATTTATTTTTAAGAGTTATTTATTTATTAGAGAGAGAGAGAGAGAGAGAGAGACTCCTTCTACTGACTTACTTCCCAAGTGGCTGCAATGCCAGAGCCAGGAGCTTCATCCAAGTCTCCCACGTCAGTGCTTTTCCCAGACCTTATGCAGGGAGCTGTAATGGAAGTGGAGCAGCCAGGACACGAACCAGCGCCCATATGGGATGCCGGTGTCATAGGCAGCGCTTTACCTGCTATGCCACAACACTAGCCCCCACTCCAAAATCTTGATTGATAGGTCCGGGTGCCCCACAGTGAACGTAGAAGCAGTCTTGTTCTGGGGCTTACCATCTAATATGGCAAAGGGCAACTGATTCTGAGCAGTCACAGCCGGCCAGAGAACAGCGCCCCTGCGCAGAGACATTTTCCTGGGAAAACTCATGATGCCAACCCTTCCAACCTAAGAAATCCATTCAATTTTCATAGATGGAGAAAATAAATCACCCGAACAAGAGGACTGCTTAGGTCCAAGGTAAATAACAATTTGAAACCAGTTTGCATACATAAACTATGGTTCATTGTATTCATTCTATTTCAACCCTTGGAGGACTCACAGCTGTCTTGTACACAATTGCACTTAAAGCCCAAAATCCTTAAGGAAAAAACAAAGGCGAAAATCTCTGAAATACAAGGAAGTCTCTCTCTCTCTCTCTCTCTTACACACACACACACACACACACACACACACAAGGGACGGAGAGTCAGGGAGGAAGTCACTTCCTCACCCCGCTCCCTGGAGTTCTGCAGACAAAGGACAATGTTTCGCCTTCACCCAGCACTTTGCAAGCTTCAGTTCTGCCCTCTGAGATCTGATCAGGATTTTGCAATCGTAACTTGAGGAGCGTTTTTGCCTGAAACCATCATGCAACAATGTCTCTTGCACCCAGCTATTCAGTGTGCTAGTGTGGGAAAGGGAAGTCTTTGTTCAAAAAGTAGCCCAGCTTGATTAAAGTCACGCCCATGTGCAGCCACTAACGGAAGAACTGTCACATGGTGGAAGGTTAGCACTGGCTGTGAAGATGGTTAGGAACCCACAGGGGGCTAAGAGAGCCTTGGGGAGGTGGGGCGAGCCCTGGACCGAGGTCTCCTCTCATTGAAGCCAGGTCTCCCCCACGTGGTGGGCCAGGCGCCCCTCAGTGAGCTCGCGGAACCAGTAAAGAAAGACACACATGGCCAGGGCTGAGGGTGGCGTTTTCTCTTTAATCTCCATAGTGTATTTGTTGAGTTTATTTATAAGCAATCACTTCACTATTTACAGTACATGAGCATAGAGATTCTACAGTTTCTGTGATGTAAACAGTCACTCCGCAGTGGGAGTTTGGAGAAAAGAAGCCAGTTCTGAAGTATTTACAGACGTTAAAATAGAACTTTATACTCACAGAATAATAATACATAGAGCAATTTGGTTAAATTATCTATGAAACTATAGAATCTGACAATGTACAAATACAGGAAAACATCTTCTCAGTTAGAAGGTAAGACAGATAAATCACACCTGAAATAAAACAGGGATGATGACAACCACAAGAATTAAAAGCAAAGAAGGTGTCTTCCTTGCCGCTTCCGGGTATTTATATAAATAAGGACACAACCCAACAAAATGGAAAAAATATATAAAAATCCTCTACCAATTAAAAAAAATAGCAAAACTAAAAACTCGATTCTCAATCATTAGCAGTGTCCTTTAAAAAATTAAAATTTAGCTTTCTATTATAAATAACAAAGCAGATGTGTCCCTCTGTGTAGGTGAAATTCTTGCACCTTTCTCAAGAAATGCATCAATGTAACTCCACAGACACACACACACACACACACACACACAGGCACAGACACATGCATGCATGTGCGCGTGCACACACACACACACACACACACACACTCCCCACAAACACAGCCTGACATTCACGCACCCCAGGCTGTAGTTACCTTGTTGAGCTTCCTAGTAAATAATGCCCCCTACGGTAGTACCCCTGGGGATGACAAAACCTCACAAGGTTAGCCATTCCCTGGTTTGACCCTGTCGCACTGCCAGGGAACACCCTGGCTCCCTATTGCTCAGAATTCTCTAGGCTGCATGCTCACACCGAGAGAAAAGGATTTGAGTCCAAGATTTGGAAAAGCTGGAAGGGACCCTAGGGACCACCTTGCCCAGTCGATTAAGGCTAGCAACAGACACCGTCTCGAGAAACCTGGGGGCGGGGAGAGGGGTCTCACGTCAGCTGCTGCCTGTGAAAGCAGCAGGTGCTCCACGCCAATGCTAACGACACAGCGCAGGGAGGCGAGGGGTGGCTGTGAACTCCTGGGGCACATCGCACCGAGCGGAACCTCGGGACGGTCACTCCCCCAGAAGCCGTCTGGAAATGCAGCTGTCCCACCTGCCGCCCTGACCACGCTCCCCTGCAGATTTCCAACCTGTTTCCTTTGGAATCGGTACATCCCTCAAGAAACAGTGTTGGGAATAGTTTATGACTTTTTATTCCTAACACAAAAACATTTGACAAGATTTTTAAATACAAAATACAAAACAACAAACAAACAAACAAAAAGTAATCAAATAAAACTGTTTGGCTATTCAGTGGACCGTATCAAAGGTCATGGCCAGGCCCCCCACTGCCACAAGCCTCTCACTCAACCTCTTCACCCGTCCCGATGGTGTCACGTGGGCCACCTTGCAGAGGTTCACTTAACAAGGTCAGCAGCCGCTGGGCTGCCAGTATTGCAGTTACAGTAAACCCCTCCCGGGCCCCTGGCCGCAGGGTCCACTCCTGCCTCCTCTGCCCACGGCATGGCTAGTGCATCGCTCGATCTGCATGCGAACCTACTAAGTGGTCACTTCTGGAGTCTTCTGACCCTGGGGTCACAATGGGCGCCGAACACCCCACCAGGTGCTCAAGCCATTACATTTCACTCCCAGAGTTCATGTCAGGCAGCAAGGGGGCCCAGAGGATTTTTGCCTTCCCTCTCAGGAGCTGGTGGATACAGTCTTTGGCCACTAGATGGCAGCCACAGGTGGATAAGGCAAAGTGCTAAAGTGGAAACTGACCACGCCCCTTCACAAAGAACCAATGGGTAAGGCTGGCAGAGGGGGAAGAAGGAGGCCTATCCATTTTCCAGGCCTCCTGGGAATTCTATTAAAAGAATGCCTGGCAGAAGAATTTCCAGGGAGTGATCACCTACAAAGCTGTATTTTCCAAGCCCCCAGGTGGGGCAGCTGGGTTTCCGTACTCCTTCAGGTGTGCAAGGAACCCTGCCAAAATGCAGTATCTGGAAAAGCTGTCCCCCTAAACCCCAAAGCCTCAGTCACTGCTGCTGTACCATTAGGGAAACAAAAAAACAAAAGCTGCCCCAAACATATGCAGTGTGATGGATGCCTCCTGTTGCCCCATATGGCTTACAATCATTTGAAAGAAATGTGTGAAAAGTGCCTAAGTTAAGCCGATTTGAAGAAACAAGTGTATTGCTAGTATTGTCTGAGAGCAAGAGAGAAGCAGCCAAGTGGCCACAACATTGGGATGGAAAGCTGTTTGGTGGGGACCACGAGGACCGGCTGACGCGAGCTCTGACGTCCTCAGCAGCCCCGCGAGAAGCTATGGCTTAGGTCTGTCCTGGGGAGCTGGCAACTCAGCCAGGGCCGGGTGGGTCGAGCCTGCTGCTGGCCGGATGTTCTGCAGAGAATCGTCCCCCTGAACAGGAGCAGGGCTCAGCCAGAGAAGGGGATGGGTTTCACAGGGGGAGCGATGGAGTCCCAAGGCTGCAGGTCGGGAAGCCACCCCTCGCGTTCATCCCACTCAACACTCGTGATGTGCTGCATGCGGGAACAGGGGCTCGAGGTCACACAGCAGGCAAGGAGCCCTGCAGCTGCTCCCCCGCGATGGCTTATAGTTAAACGACTTGTTGCACAAACCCATTCCCGTCGGCTGGGCTGTTCCCCGTTGGCCGGGTTCCAACAGACACCACAAAGGGCTGGCCCCAGTGCTGGCTCTCGCGCAGCCCAGAGCTCGGAAGGCACCATTGCCCTCTCTCCCCATGCCCAGCCCGCTTCACAAACACCCGCTTCAGTGTCGAGGAGAGCGCCTCACGCCGCCACGGGAGACCTGTATTTGGCGGTGAAGTGAGGGGTCTTCTCAGAGTGCTGCTGTTGGCTAATGCAAAGCCAGCCTCTGCCCCCTCCCTGGGCATCCCCCCAACCCAGGTCTGTTCTGGGCCACCAGCATCTTGGTACACGCAGGCTTCCAGCTCCCACTTACCCTGTACCCCAGACTCTGCCCACAGCACGGCCCTGGAGCCCATCTGTGTGGGGCTCGGGACCCACTTTAATGTATTGCTTCCTGCTGCCCCAGGGGAAGGACTGAGAGGGACCCTCTTCCTTGACCAATGAACCCACTAGATTCACCTTATCTGTGATCACTATACAACCAATTTCTTTCCTTGGTCACATCTGATGCTGGGGTTCAGGTTCCCCCAAACTGAGGGCAGCTGCTACATCTCAAATCTTGCTAATGCGGAGTCAGGGTGACAACACATCCCCTGGGGTTGATTTGCCCCATTTCTCAAGCTGCAGGCTCGGCTCCAAGTTCAGCGGCACTCAAGGCCTGGGATGGGCCACGGCTGGAGCAGTCCCTGCAGAAGCCCTGGGCCTTCAATGCCTGCCACGCCTCCCCACCCATCACCTGCGCTGCATGCATCCAGGAGAAATCGCTCTCATAACACCAACGAACTCAGGCCTCAGGCCCTGCAAGGCACCTTGCTGCACCTCCTCTCACTTCCCGGGTCAGAGCTTTGTGCACCGAGTTTCTCCTCCTCGGAGCCCTGCTCTCCCCTCCCCTCCCGGAAGCCCCGCCTCTTTCCTGAGCATGTAACACTCGAAGCTGCAAGATCTCCAGGCAGACGCAGACACCACACAGGTGCTTTCTGACTCCAAGCAGTTTTCTGGTTGGGGACAAGGTGCGCTGTGGGGAGAGGGGGCGGGGCCCTTAGCTGCACTCCATCCACTCATATTCTTTACCTCTTTGATGCATTTTCCTTCGGTAACCAGAGCCCCCGAGAGCGAGGACTCTGATTCAGCCTGGTACCGACTGAGGAAGGAGATGGAAGAATTCCACATAGCGGTTGGATTGGACATTTTTGGAAAACACCAGCAGGGCACACAGAGACGGTAGGAGCTGCCCTGCGTGGGCAGCTTCAGCACAGGCCGGGGGAAGCTTTGATGGCGAGCACACGTAAACACCATCGAGAGCAGACATGAGGACCAAGCTATGATGAGATGCTTGCCAGCAGCGGCTGCTCCCTCTGGATCGCTCCTGAATGTGGTGGGAAAGAGAGCAAGGTGGGCTCGTTTTCCTGAAAGACCTTGGCGCGCCCTTGGGGATGACACACAGCACTGAGTGACTCTTCGGGACAGAGGTCGTCCACAGTGGTCAGCTCTGGAGCTTGTAGCCTTTCACGGCTGGGACAGCAAGCCAAGGCTATCGTCAGCTTCCGACCCCACACTCGGGCTCTGCTATCTAAGCTCAAGGGCCAACGTCTAAATATCTTCCAGTCTCCATGTACCCCGACGCGGTGGGTGGGCTGGTCCTTCCTTCAAATCTGCATTTCATGACCAGAAAGTGCCACCAGCCCCAGACAGAACCTGTGGCCAGTGCCAGAGGAGGCGGCCAACAGAGGGGCTCAGAGAAGATGCCGATGACTCCTTTCAGCACAGAGGTGCCGGCGGGGGGACGGGCCCCCTCCAAGTAACAGGGAATTCTTGCTGGGGTCACAACTTGGATGCTAGTGCTCATTCTCGTTCCCAGGTGAAGGCGGAGGTCACTCCCTGATGCACACCAGGACGTAGCGGAGGCAGCAGCAAGACTGAAATTCTATCCCACCCCACAAACCTGTCTAATGTGCCTACTATGTGCTAGGCAGTGAAGAGCTATAAAGGAACTTAGAACGACCAGGTCTGTACCGTGGAAAGTCCCTTTTTTGGTCCATCTGGATAAACCCTGTCTTCACCAAAGCTGTTCCTGCCTGCTCTTCCGCTCCCCCGTCCCGCCCTGCCTGAGAAGGGCTGTGTGTCACAGGGCACGGGGAGTCCCAGGCCCAGAATGGCTTTAGGGGTGTTTTCTCTCCTAGATTGGGACACGACAGACGGGGAAGGGTTGGCATAAAACCCAGGCAGCATAAAAGGTTCTGTGTTGACTGATCGGAACCTCTCACAGCTTAGACCAGGATGTGTGGTTGATTAAACTCTGGCCAGTTAGTAATGGCAGCCCAGAGCACTGTGTTGTGGCCTCTTAATAACACATCTGGGGTCAAAGAACATGAGTGCTGTGTTAGATTAGTTATATCTGCATTGGCCAAGAACAGGGCAGTGGTGGTGCCTGTACTTCGTATGTGCCACCCTGAGCTAGACGCTGCCTTAGCAGAAGCTGAGACTGCTGGAAATGGCTGAACTCTCCCTCTCACTTCACTTTATCAGGGGTCCAGAAAGGTCAAACGACTTGACACACACAGGAGCTCAAATTCTCTGATCCTGCTAAAGCCTGTGCCCTCCAGCCTTACCGAGGGACTGAAAGCACGCTCACCTTCAGGACAAGGTCATGGGCTCAGTTTACCTAGAGGTATTTGATAATCTGAAAAAGAAAAAAAAAAAAAAAAACAAAAAAACTACCAATTCTCAAGGGACTAGGTCAAGACTAATGAACCACTTTCAAGCATTTTGAAAGTAGCAGGACCCCTAAAAAACAAAACAAAACCTTCCCAAAGACCCCTGCTGAATGAAGGGGATCAAGGAGGAGATGCTGGCGGGCAGCAGGGGTGCCCACCTTGCCCGGCCACTGCCGCCCTCAACAAAGGCCCCGCAGAACATCCAGCTGGGTGTGGCTCTCACATTGTTCAAGAACCAAGCCTCAGGTCAAGTTCAGACAGAATGTTTCCCAGTGGTGGAGACTGTCACCTCCATCCCTAGCCTCACACTGCCTCCTGGCTCTACTCTACTCCACTCCACCAAAACAACTCTACACGTGAGGACCAGGTAAAGACAACAGCCTCACAACAGGGAGAGGAGGGGCCGGCGACTGGCCCCAGAGGGACGACAGCCATTGCCAGGTGCATCACAACCCACTGACGGCGCATTGCCCACAGGCAGAGGCAAACCACAGGACCACTGGGCTCAGAGCTGACGGTGTGCACAGCACGTGTGCCACGCCTGGAATGTGGCTGGCAACATGACTCAGCTGTGGTCTGGATGCCCCAAATGCTGGGAATCAGGAGGTCTGGTCTGGGTCACTGGCCACGGGATCCCAGACAAGCCGCTTGTACCCTCTGGGCACAGCCTTGCTTCTCCTAGACAATGGGCACAGTGCAGCTGGCCTGGCCCTCTTTACAAGGTACGGGAGGGGCTGAGAGCGAACAGATGGGCACATGCCAGAAGGGGCCGCTGGACACAAGATGGGGAAGACCCAGAAAGCTGTCTGTGCTGCTCCTTGTGGGGCCGGAGGCCACACAGCCCCTCCAGGGCAGCCTGGGAAGGGAAGCAGAGCAGCTCAGCGGCAAACATCTTAGGACAGTGCATAGTTAAAACTCAAGGAAGCGATACAATAATCCCAGGCACAGCACATCTGAGCCATAAATACAGTATTTGAAGGATATACTTTGTTCTTTTTTTTTTTTTCAATTAAAAACGAGTTGATAGTCCTGATTCTATTCACAAGTAACAAGTTCATCATCACACACTACAGACAAACAGTGTTATGGCGAACACAGCTGCAAGGCTACGCAGGGATGAGGGGGCACAGGGTGACCGACCCAGCACGGGAGGCGCGCGCCCGGACAACCCGTGGGAAGCGAGGACACCAACATGGCAGTGGAACATCAACACCATGGGGACTCACGGACAGAAGCAGCTTTGTTCAATGTAAACATTGATCTTGTTCTGAAAAGGACAGCAAGTTCAAGTCTCTCTTCCGTGTGTACTCTCACGCTCGCTCGCGCTCTCCTCCTCGGCGACCTCACTTCTTTGAAAACGTAAACATATTGGAAGGGCCTTGTCTGAGGTATTGAGGTATTCCTCGAAGGGTAAGGCTTGATCAGTGCAGGCTCTGCTGGGCCTCCTTCAGCAAGCTGTCAAAATCCATGGCTTCGTACTTGCTTTTCACGGGCGTGGGGAGGGCCTCTTCAGAATTGGAATCTGGCGGGGGGGGGGGGTGGAGGAGCCAGGGAGAGGGGAAGGCGGTGAGCGACTGACGGAGCCCGCAGCACCGGGCCACCTGCCTCTGAGCTCGGGCTGTGGCCCGAGGCCCCAGAGCAGGGATGAGTACCGAGAGCACCGACCGCCCTTCTGCCTTGACAGCTCTGCCAGTGCACCTACGCTTTGGGCCCTGGTTGTTCTGTTTGTAGAGCAAGGCAGGGCCTGAGCTGGGGCACCCCGAGCTCCTTTCCAGCTCCAGAACCTTAGAGCCTGCTGCTGACTCACACATGGGAAGGCTAACAAAACTGGCATCTCTGTCTGGCATACATAGGGAAACTGAGGCCCACAGGTGCACCTGCAGCTGAGCGCAGCACCGCCTGGCGAGAACCCACTGAGATCTGCTGCTACCAGCCTTGGAGCCCGCAGGCCACACTGTGCTCATCCCAACGAGTGATTGTTTCCTACATTCTGCTTCTTTGTCCTGGGCCAGCTTGTCCACAGCTGGCAAGGGCCCACCACTGGTACTGTTCCACTGTGGCCCCCCCATAGACACGGCTGCACTTTGTCAAGGGGTCACCAGGGAACACCTCTCAAGAGGGCAGGGTAGCAGGTGGCCCCGCTAGGTCAGAGACAGCAGCCATGGCTCTGCCAACCAGCTGTGAACACAGGGTGGCCCTCTCCCCACAGGCCTCGGGAAGCTGGGCTACTGCTTCTTGGTGGCAGCCATGGGACAGGACAAAATGGACCAAAGGCTGGAAGAAAAGGAAGATGGGAGCCCCCAGGCCAAGAGGCTGCTGGGGCAGCTGGGGGCCCGGGGAGGGGAAGCGCGTCCAGGAGGGGCCTTGGGTCTCGCCAGCTGGAGCCGGACCTCAGGCACTTACCATAGTCGGTGTACCTGGGCCAGCGGAAGTGCTGGAGCCCTCCGTAACTCAGCTGGAAGGAGGGCTCGTGGCGCTGCAGCCCCGCGCCGTTCCTCAGAGACAGGGCCGCGTGCTCGGAACACCGGAAGGTGACGTAGCCGCACTTCTCGCCTCTAGGGGAGAAGGCAAGGGAGAGCATTCCCAGGGCGCTGCCCGACCGCCCAGCACCACACAAGGAGCAGAGAGCCACGCGGACTCCGCGCCCACGTCACGTAGCCCCCAGGCTGACCGCTGCAGTGGCAGTAACAAAAGTTGCAAACCTGTGCAGACACGGCCTCACACCGTCTTAGATGACCCTGGGAGGTGGCTACTGTCATTACCTCCACCCATGGTCGAGCCTGAATTCAGACCCAGGCCTTCCAGGACGTTAAAGCCGACGCTCCGAACAGACTCCCATAACTCTTTTCTGTGCACTTGCCCTGCCAACTGCCCGTTCCCACCATCACATGACCCTGCACCCTGCAAACCTGGCCCCAGGCACCACCTCCACGGCTGCCGCTGTGGTCTGCACTGCGTCCACCATGGCTGGTATTCGCTAACATCACCTTCCTCCTGCCTGCTTGGCTTCCAGCCCCCTTCCTCGGACAAAAGCATCAGTTAGCCAACCAGGCTCAGGGGGCCGGGGAAGTCCCAGGAAGGTGGCTCTCCCTCGATACAGTGGTTGGTTCAAGGGTGAGCTGTCACTCAAAACCAACCCCCAGAGAACTCAGCCCAGATCTTTGCTGGAACTGTGAGGGCGACGCCTGCTTGCCCCGGGGTCTCTAGGTTGGTGGGAGGTAAGCTTAGCACTGGAGGCAGCCACTCTGCAAACAGGAGGAAAGTCGGCCTGGAAAAGCTTCCAGAGCAAGGGGGCCCTAAACTCAGGTCCACTCTGACATTCTGCTTCGCGAACAAGAGGAAGAATCCAAAGGGCAGAGACGAAGGGGCCGTTCCCTGCAGCTCTGTAGGCATCTAATAAACATTCAAGGGCATCCCATTCCCAACACCCTGCTGAACCCAGGCCAAGTTGAAACTCTTCTGCCTCTTCAGATGCCTGCAACCGGTAGTGTGTATAAGGCTCCTTCTGGAAGATCTTGCATAATGAATTGGGACTGGCAGTGTGGTACAGTGGTCACGTCGCTGCTTGCAATGTGGCATCCCCTATCAGACTGCCAATCTGAATCCCAGCTGCTCTGTTCCCAATCCAGCTCCCTGCTAATGCACCTGAGAAAGCAGTGAAAGACGGTCCAAGTACTGGGACCCCTGCCACCTACATGGGAGATCCAGGTGGAGTTCCAGGCTCCTGGCTTCGGCCTGACCCAGCCCTGCCTGTGACGGCCATGTGGGGAGTGAACCAGCAGACAGAAGCTCTCTCCCTCTGTCTTGCCTCTCTCTCTATCACTCTGCCTTCCAAATAAATAAAAACAAATCTTTAAATATATATGTATATATATCTTAACAAATCGACCTTTCTCTTTAGAGCTGAATTGTGTTTTTGCATGCTATTTTCATTCTGATATTCTGAACACTAGGCCTACTCAACAGGAGTTGAGTCTTTTTGTGAAAATTGTGGTAAAAACTATGAAATTTAACAGTGGACCACTGAGGAGTATGAAGCCTACTCACAAAAGTTTGAAACAGATCTCGAGAACTTTCTCATCTTGTGAGACTGAAACCCAACACCACTAGACAAAGACTCTCTTTTCTTCCTCCCCCAGCACCTGGTGGCCACCACAGCACTTCCATTCCCCATGAACTTGGCCTGAGCAGAACCCTACAGTCCTTATGTGATGGGCTTATTTCACTTGGCATAATGTCCTCACGGTTCTTCCACATGGTAGCAAGAGCTAGACACTTCCTTTCTCTGTTAGGCTGCATAATATCCCACTGTGTGCAAACACCACATTGCTTATCTACTCATTTGTCAATGGACAGTGGGCTGTTTCCACCACACTGGTTACCGGGAACAATGTGGCCATGAAGGTTCCGAGGTTCAATTTCAACTCCTGGATATATAGACCCTAAGTGGAATCGCTGCACTATACGGCAGGCTTCTATATGACTTTTTGAGAAAGGCTGCACTCTTCTCCATATCAGCTGCCTCATTTTACATCCTCAATTTCTCTACATCTTTACCAGCATTTATTTTACATTTTTTTGGATACCAACCAAAATGGGTAAGAAATGCATACCGATTCTTGCATAAGAAACTACTACCTGCTGAAGCTTTTTATTATTATTAAATTAGAATTTGAAAGTCCCAATAACTTAGTTTACAGGAATAATGGGCAAAAAGTTAGAAGTGTTTCAAAATTGACATTATCTGACATCCCATTTGGGCACTCACACACGGAGCCCCCAGAGAGATGAAGCACTGCTCCTGCAGTGAGGGGGGCGCGGGATGCCCGGTGGAACAGAAGGCCCGGGGCTCCCTGGTGCAGGGGAAGGCAGGGACAAGACAAGTGGCCCAGGGAAGGCTCCGCGCAGGTGTGCTTGACCACCAGAGGCCCTGGCTGCCCTGTGCTGGCTCCAGTGCTGGCTCTGCCGGGAAGCAGCGGCTCAGCTAACTTGTCTGAGCTCCTGGACAGGAGAGCAGCAGGAAGAGGAGGAGCGTGAACGTCATGTACCTTGCAGGAATGCGGGCCTGTCTCCCCAAGAGAACGCATGGCAACCGCCAGGCGCATGGCAACCGCCAGCGCACACCTGCTGCCCCTCCCGGCTGCACCATCCCTGGCGCTTCTCCTGCGCCCAGCCGTGGACTGCGTCCAAACGTGCTCCACAGATCATGGGCACTCTCCATGAGCTCTGGCCGCGGTGGCAAGTGGGGGTCCTCCCAGCACCCCTCCCAGGCGATGGCTGCATTCCACTCACCTCTTACTTCTCGTCAGCACCTGGCACTCCACGATCTCGCCAAACACCTCAAAGCGCCTCTTCAGCTCCCGGGAGCTCATGTCGCTGGAGAGATTGCGAACGTATACCACGCGGCCTTCACCCTGCTCACAAGGGGCCAAGGGGGACCTGTCATGGCCAGGCTGCCTGGGTCACAGGCACCTCTGGAGTCCTCGTCCTGGTCCGCAGTGCCCCCCTGAGCAACTACACCAACTGGCCATGGCGAGAGGATGACAAGGGGCTCAGTCCCAGGTGGCCTGCCCTTGCTGGGGGAGGGGGACCACGAGGGTCTAATGGGCGAGTGGCTCCAAAGGAGGTGGCTGCTTCCAGGAAAGAAGCGAGCAGACATGCACTGAGAAGGGAAAGGCGCTTGTCACCAATGACCCAACTGCCTGTTCAGTGGCTTGGAGCCTGAGCAGAGAGGGGCCAGGTCACCGGCAGGGGTCAGAGGGAGTGAGAAGGCAAGGGGGCCAGATGGGGGCACTAGGGCATTGGAACTATGAGTTTCTTAGGAGAAGGAAGCCCAGGCTGCATCCTCCCTACCCCTCCCCTCCCTTCCTCTAAGCCCAGCGAGAGAGAAATTCCTGCCTTGTTCCTGGAGCCCGAGCTCCCATGGGCAGAACCAACCATCTGTGGCATGGACAGGACTTGTCTGTGGCCACAAAGCTCAGATGGCAAGAAAGCAGGCGTGGGCCGAGGGGCCGCAGGAAGGCTCTGCAGCCCACTACCGGGACGGCACACGGAGACCCAGCCTCTGCCTCCTCCCAGCCTCTGGGTAGCCCCTCTCTGGTCCTTAGCTCACTCTCCTTCCTCCCTCGGGCCCTGGCTCTTTGCAGATGCCCCCGTCCCCTGCCCACCACTGGACTGTTTCTCTCTGACATTTCAGCGCTCATGCCCGTCTGTAAACACTGTGTCTATCCCTTAGTCCATGTGTCTGTCGTCTTTCCCTCCTGTCCCAGTTCCGGGGGTGGGGCCCTCTCGCTCGTTGCTACAGCCTGAATCCTAGAACGGAGCCAGGCTTGTCAAACATCTGCACAGTTGCCCAGCCCAGGCTTCTAGTCCCAGCTGCTCACCTCTGGGGACACACACCCTGGGAGGTGGGGGCAGCCCTACTCCCTGGGGCACCAAGTCTCAGGGGCTGAGTCCAGTGGGCATCGGCCTTCTTCTGTGCTTGGCCTGTGTCTTCTCGCTCCACTCTAGTGACTGGGCTTAGCAGGCTGGCCCCCGCCCCCACCGCAGGCACTCGGCCTTGACTACACTCCCCACTGGGAGTGTAGGTTTTCTCTACAGAGAGCTTGGCACAGCTTCTCCAGGCAAACCCGCAAGGCCACTGCGTGTGGGGGGTGAGTGGGGAGGAAGGGACAGGTCCTCTCGGTGCCCTGGCCCTGATCAAGGCAAGCGAACCCTCAGGAAGCCTCAGGCCCAACTCCCTTGTAAACAAGGAGTGCACTTAGGCTCGGAGAAGAGGGGGGACCTGCCCAGGGTCGCACAGAAGGTGACGGCAGGGCAGGCTGTGACCAGGTCGGCCTGGCTCTGCTCCTCCTTCCTGCTGTCCACCCTCCTTGTCCTCTCCGGGACCCTGATGCTGAGCCCCACGTTGCCACCAAGCGTGTGCTTCAGGGCCAGCCCTCAATGGACTGTGCCGGTACCACCCTCTGATGTGCTCTGGTGGCCCCAATGCTTTTCAAAGGAGACGAATACACCTGTATTTTGCGTCCCAGGCAGGGGCTGATGCGCCCCCTGCCAGCCTCAAACGGCCTGGGGGTCACGAGGCCCTCGTGCTTCGGGAGGCCACTTCTCACTCCCATTCCCCCCTCCCCAGGGTTCAGGGCCCCAGGTCACTTACGATGGCTTTTTCCCGCCGCTTCCTGGCATGCCGGACGCTTGGCGTTCCTTCCGAACACGGCCCTCTGCCATCACCTCTGTCAGGGAACAAGCAAAGAGAGACGTTCACCGTCGGGGAGACACAAGGCAGGAGGGGGGGCAGTGACGATTTCCGCAGGCCTCATGCGTGGGGCAGAAGGGGGCCAACTCCCTCCCTGCAGCACCGACAGCCAGGCCGTGCGGGGCTCTGAACACGTGGGCCCAGCCTGTCTGCTGGCTGCTGGGACTCGGCTCCTGGCACACACAGGGCTGTCCCTGAGAGCCCTGTCTGGGTAGGAAAGCCCTTGTATTCTATTACCTTAATTGATCTCATGAAAAAGCCCCATGAGGTCGGCGTTGCCCCATTTTCCACACGGAAAATCTGAGGCTCAGATCTGGGATCTGTATAAAGCTAAACGTGGAGGAGCCAGAGCTGGAAGCTGGTCTTCTGGTTCTAGAACCATGGCGCTCAGTTGGTGCCTGCCTCCGCCGAGGAAGAGACCCCGCCCCTCACAGCCTCTGGGCCGGTCATCAGGTCAACCAGGCCACACGGCCCGGGCAGGCGGCCGAGGGCCACACGCCAGCCTCCTTGCCAGTGGACGTGCGTGCCACCAGGACAGACAGAGGATATGAACACAGCCTGCAACCTGTGTGCAGATGCGGGTGACTTCAGCTCCTCCTCTGGCAAACAAAGGCACCCAATCATGATCACCTCCTTGGCCACGCGGGTGAGGATTCAACGCTCAGCCCGACTGCTCAGGGAATGCTTGCCTTATTTCCCTATGTAACCTCTCTGAGCCTCAGCTTCCTCATCTGTGCAATGGGGCAAGCCAGCTGTGCCCTCCAAGGGCACCTGTGAAGCCCAGATAGGGTAAGGGAAGGCTATGAGTCACCAATGCGACAAGCTATGTAATAGCACTGCATCACCCACGTCATCACGTTGGTCGGCCTTCCCCAGGGGAAAAGTTGACAGCACCTGGAAGTGGGGTTCAGGGCTCGTACTATTTCTAAATTTCTTTTCCATTTATTTTACTTGAAAGGAAGACAGAGGCATCTGCTAAGTGCTGGTTCATTTCCCAAATGCCCTGCAATGGCCAGCCAGGCTGAAGCAGGACTCCAGACCACGGCACAACGTGGGTCTCCCACATGGGTGCAAGGATCCACATCTGGGCCATCACCGAGGCCTCCCGGGGTGCACATTAGTAGGAAGCTGGATTGGAACTATATGGGATGCAGGCGTCTTCACCAAATGCCCGCCCCAAAGGTTTATCTTGTTAAACCAGTTCAAAAGCTTCCTGTTCACGGCTGCTTGGGGGTGGAAGGCAGGTGAAGACACAGCGGTTGGGGAAGGCTGGATTCTAGCTCGGCCGGCTCTCCACCTACCGAGCTCTGCCAAGCAACTATGCAGCAACCGACTTCCCCACCAACCTTCTCCACTGCCCCGGACGAGGCAGCGGTGGACCTGGCCCACAGGTGTAAGAGAAAATCAGCGGGGGGTTCTAGCGTGGCTCGCCACCCTTCCCAGGCAAGCCCAGAACACAGCCCTGCTCAACCCCCTCGCTGGGCAAGGCAGGAGGCAGCCAGTGAAGACAGCACTGGCCATGGGGGCGCCCTCAGAGGCGAGGAGAACCCTGGCGGGGCGTGAGCACACCTCGCAGCAGAGCAAGGCGGATCCTGGACCTGGGACCCTGGACCCGGGACCCGGAAGGGTTGTAAGGCAGGGGCTAACCCTGGGGGAAAGGAGCGAGAGTCAGCAAGCGAGGCTCTAGGAGGCCAGGCAGAGCACGGCCGAGACTAACAGTCACGGGCCCGTTACAGAAACCGCTGGGAACTCGTGGTGTGAACAGATGATTGGGGCTTCTGAACACTGGTTTCCAGGAGAGTCCACCCCAGAAAACTGAATGCCTGGTTAGATGCCCACACCTCTTAGTGGGGAGAGGAGCCTTTGTTTTCAGCCAATTTTTTGAAATAAGGAAGAACCTCCGGGGTAGCCGTGCAAACCTCAAGGGGAATTTGCCTTCATACAACCTGAATTTCGGTCTCAGGGTATGGTCCTCAGGTAACAACATCATCACCTGGGCACTTGCTAGAAACGCACACTTGCACACGCACCGGGCTCCAGCCCTATAGCCAGGTGCTCGGCACAGCCTTCACAGCCCTCCCGGGGACCCTGCAGCTGTGCCCCACAGCTGAGCACATCACCTGGAGGCACGGGACCGGGGGCAGCACTGCCCTCCCCCAGGAGTCGGGCCCTGCTGTGACGTTCCCGCCCTCCGGAGACCACCTGCTTACCTGAAGTTCCTTCGGGAGGCTGGTGACCAGGAGCGGCAGGAAGAGGAGCCGGAGCTGGAGCGGCTGCGGGAGCAGAGCTGCCGTCTGGCCTTGCTGGGTGGGCTCTGGTAGGGGCAGTGGTCAGAGCGAGGGGGACTGACCCCTGAGTCCTCTTCCTCTTCCTCCTCCTCCCTGTCCTCCTCTTCCTCCTCCAGGAGGAAGCTGCTCTCACCACTGCTGCTGCTGCTGTCCTCAAAGACGGTGTCATACTCGGGGCTCTTGCACGAGGCCAGGTCCTCGTCCTCCAGGGCGGTCTCCAGCAGCCCAAAGTGCTTGGTGAGGCTGGCGCGGATCTCGTGGTCTCTGAGCAGCACGCTGTCCTTGGGTGGGCCGCCAGCGGCACAGCTTCTGTCCTCCTCCCTGCCGGGGACCTGCGTCTCGGCACACAGGGTCCCCGGCTGGGGCCAGTCCTCAGGGTGGACCCCGGAAGGCTCCCAGGACCTCAGCACCTTCCTCTGCAGGGCACCCTCCGGCCTGAGCACCTGGCAGTAGTCGTGGTCTCCGAAGGAACAGGAGAAGGGGCGCTTCTGGCCAGCCTGGGAGGCCGGCGGGGCCGCGGCGTGCCGCAGGTGGGAGAGGAGCTCGCTCCGCTCTGGGGGCTTCTTTGGCAGTTTGTGGGCAGCCCCTGGGGCGGCCCCGAGCTGGAGACCCTCAGGGGATGGGGGGCTGGGAGCTGCGTCTTTGTCCAGGCTGTGCTTGGGGTTGGGCTTGAAGGGGTCCTCCTCCATGGGCTTGTATGGAGGCGTGGTGGGTGGGGTGAGCCCTGCAAGACGAGACATCTGTGAGGCAAGATGCATCTCTGGCCCTGGGGCCATGAGGAGCCCCATTTGGAAGGCACAGAGCTGGCTATGTGCCCCTACTCCCTGAGCTTGATGGATCACGGGTGTCACCAACTGGCCGCCCTGCTGCTGGCCGAGCCTAGACGGCACCCCGGGAACCCTCCAACTCTCTGTGGTTGGCACGGGATGGAATGCACCTGGCAGCTGCTCTGTGGGCTGCTGATGGCAGCTGGAGCCTCCAAGTCACCAAGCTGTCTCTTCCGGCCCGCAGGCCAGTGCTCAGCAAGTCTCCCCAGTCCTGTCTCCCAAACACCACAGAGCAGAGCAGGTAGCAGAGGTAAAACTGTCCACCTAGACTTGACCAGGGCCATACCCTATTGCGATTCTACCCTTGCCCTTGGCCTCTACTCTCCCTATGCACCAAAAAGAACTCAATGAAATGCCCATCTCTTCCTCTCTGGGGCTCCTAACACCCGCAGGGTGAACCTCTGACTTGCGCAGCGAGACCGGGTTCAGCGTCTCCGATAGACCCTGTCCCTCACCCCTCTGAGCCCTCCCTGCCAGCACACTGTTGCCCTTCTGTGGCTTGCCTGGGTCCATTTATCTAGCACAAAAGGCCCTGCTCGGGGTACCCTGCAAAGTCTGCCCAGGCCACACCCCTGCCCAGCCCAGCCCAGCCTAGCCCCTCTCTGCATCCCAGGGCTTTTGCCAATACTTCAAACCAGGCGCAGGTGAGACGGTGCTCAGCAGGGAGTGAGGCTCTGCCGCCCCAAGACCACAGGCTGCTCCTTATTGTGCATCTCAGCACCTGTCACAGCTGCAGGTTGGGAGGGCTTGGTGCGCACCCCCTCATTGCATGAGGGGTTTGCCAGCTCCCCGAAAGGCACCCAGCAGCCGAGCCACCCTGCTTACCTGCCGTGCCACAGAGCTCCACTGTCAAGGTCTGCTCAAAGCTCTTCTTGCCAAAGGGAGGGTCGCTGGTGGGGGCAGGAGGACAGAGAGGAAAGAGGCCAGTGAGCAGCAGCAGCTCCCACCCCCTCCCCCCAGCACCCAAGGCGGGCACGGGGACACCAGGTGGACCCTGGCTCTGGCGCCCGTGGGAACGGGGCCTGGTACAATCTGCAGCGGGGACTTTCCCATACTGGCTGCACAGCTCTCAGGACACAGACAAGGTTTGTGTGGACAGAAGATAGAGAAGGCGAGGCTCACGGCCTCCTTCCTTTACAGACAGCAACCGAGGCCCAGAGGGGGCAAGGGACTTTCCCAAAGTCACACAGCCTGCTCAGCTTCTGCCCACGGAGGAAAGCGCTCTTTCCCCAGAGGAACAGCTTCTGCAGTGACCCCAGCCTTGCCTCTCCCTCCCTCCCCTGGGCCTGCAGGACCTTGTTCCTAAAACCCAGCTCCTGAGGGCCCCAGATGGCGATCAGGGCAGGGGCTGATGAACCTCCCCACCCCAGCACCCCCAACACAAACACCCAACATGGCAAAACCTCCCAGACTGTCGGCTATACCAAACATTGTTAAGAAATCTACCTTTGTGACAAGGCCAGCATGAGGCACCTGGGAGATTCTGAAAAGAAGACCAAAAAAAAAAAAGACAAATAAAATTTCCATCTAGAAAGACCCCAAACTTCCACTGGTGCCAAGCACAGCTGCCGCTCAGGCAGGTGGCCCACAGGCTTCCGCCATCTTTAGGGGAGAGCAGGCACGGAAAGCCACCTTCCCCCCACCCAGGACGTCAGCAGGTGGAAAGGGCTGTCCAGGAGAAAGAGCACAGGGATCCGAGGGCGACCCCTTCTGGCCACATGGAGTAGCACCACGGCAGAGAGTTCCCAGATCCCGCAGCCGAGGGCTCTGGGCGGAGTCCCGCACAGGACCTCGGTGTCTGCATCCTAAGGCAAGAGGCCCTTGAGAGGCATCCGTGCAAATAATGTGACGCCTTAGACCACTGCCTGGCAGCAGGGGCACTGCTCTGCACCTCTCATTATCCTCATTACCACCGCTACTAGCGTTTACAAGACACCTTGACCGTGGAGGTGACTGCAGGTGCACAGCTCACCCCCAGGAAGACTGTGTCTCCCCCCCCACCTCCCCAGCAGCCCCACGAGGGCAGGCCTCTTGCTCTTGGCTCATAGAGCAGCGCCTTCTCCCTGGCATGATGACAAGCTTAGAGCTGTACGGTGCTCCCCCGCAGATCCACCCCTTGTACAGAAAGAGAAGTTGAAAGCCAGAGAGGGGGCGGGAGGAGACGTGGGCACAGGGCTCCCGCGGGGCTTGCTACCAGCCGTCCCCGCCCCCTCCTCCCAACCTGCCCATCCTGACTACCTCCGGAGGGGAGCCGCGGGCAGCCGGGGTCCTCGTCGGTGTCCCCGCACCCGCTCTCGCAGGGACTCTCCAGGGCAGAGATCTGGGGTCCTTGCACATGCTCTCGGCCACTGTCCTCATCTGTGGGGCTGTCCCCCTCCATGGTGTAGGCCTCGGAGGCTGGGCAGAGGGAGGGCAGCGTGCCTGGCGGCTTGGTGGGGACCAGCGTCTCGTCCGTGAACGCCAGCCAGGGGCCCAGCTCGGGGTTCAGTCTCCGGGAGCGGCGCACGGGGCACACGGAGCTCTCCTGCTTCCTCCCCAGCTTGGTCCACGGCACCCCTCGGCCCAGCCTCTTCCTGCCCCACTCCTCCTCCTCCTCATCTTCCTCCTCCTCATCTTCCTCTTTCTCTTCCTCCTCCTCGTCGTCCTCCTCCTCGTCCTCCTCCCGCGGCCGATGCAGCCCACCAGGCCAGCTGAGCTCCTCTTTCACGTCGAGCCGCAGGGGCCGCAGGCTGGGTCTGGGCCCCGTGCTCTTGGGTGAAGCCGCGATCCTCACCTCCTCCACAGGGGAGGGGCCCCCTGGGGGCGCCTGACCGTCTCTGGGGGGTGCGGGTCTGGGCTGGGGCGTGAGGGAGGCGTAGACAGGCGTGGCCAGGCGGTAGGGTTTGCTGACGTCACAGAGGACATCCTGGGCCAGAAGCTCCCTCAGGATGGAGAACTCGGCCCAGGAGGCTTTGGAGGGGTGCCGGGAGCCGGACTGGGGTCTGACCTGCTTGGCAGGGCTGCTGCAGGGCTGGGGGGCTGGCTCTGGGGCCTGCGGGGGCTGCTTCTTCTGCGGGAGGCAGTAGGTGTGCATGTAGCGAATGAGCTGCACCATCGCCTGTGCATCCTCCTGGGGAAGCTGGCTGCCACAGCCCGCCTGGCCCGGCACTGGGGAGTCCCAGGGAGAGGCTGCAGTGGGCTGGGGGCTCAGGCAGTCCTCCCCTGGCTCCTCGTCCTCCTTGTCAGGGAGCCGGGGACTTGAGGGGGCTGATGGCTGCAGGCCCCTCTCCACGGAGCGGGCCGCGGCCCGGGGGCAGGAGGGTCCAGAGGTGAGGTGCTTATGCAGTTCCGTACAGCTCCGGCTCTGAGGCTGCAGCCCAAGGCCTTTCCTGTCTTGAGAGCTGTCCATCTAGAGTGGGAAAGGGGCCAGGGTGAGGAGGGCGGCCCATCCCCGGCTCACCTCTGTGAGGGGAATACTCCGTCTTCTCCCTCTTTGTTCCCAGCTCGCAGCACACAGCCTGGCACGGGCCCAGCTCAGTCAAGGAGGAATGAAGGGGTGTCCAGCCTCCCCACAGGTCTCCGGCCCATGGGCTATGGCCCTCACAGCCCCTTCCGGAGCCACTCCCTGCTCTGACTTCCTGCTGCCCTGCCCTGCCCCTGGCTGCCCACAGCTTTGTGTGCGAAGGATAAATGTCAAAGGGGCCGTCAGGATCCTTCTGGGATGATGGGTTCATTCTACAACTGGGTGGTGTCACGGATACACAACTCTATAAATTTGCTAAAAATCAGACAATTGTACTTTTTTTAAAAAAAAAAAGATTTATTTATTTGAAAGGCAGAGGTACAGAGAGGCAAAGAGAAAACCTTCATCCGCTGGTTCATTCCCCAGATGGTTGCAATGGCCACAGCTGGGCCAGACTGAAGCCAGGAGCCAGGAGCTTCATGTGAGTCTCCCACATGGGTACAGGGGTCAAAGCACTTGGGCCATCTTCTGTTCTTTCCCAGGTGCATTCGCAGGGAGCTGGATCGAAAGCGGAGAAGCCAGGACTCGAGCTGGAGCCCATATGGGATGCCTGTATTGCAGGCAGCGGCTTCACCTGCTACACCAGTGTCAGCCCCATAGAATAGTACTTTTAAAACAGGTAGCATTGAGGCTAGTGTTGTGAACAGTGGGTTAAGGTGGCACCTGCCACAGAGGCATCTCATATGAGCACCAGTTCAAGTCTGGATGCAGTTCCGGGCTGTGGGCTTCAGCCTGGCTCAGACTCAGGCATCATGGCCATGTGGGGAGTGAACAAGTGGATAGACGCTCTCTCACTGTTGCACCCCCTCTCTGTGCCTCTGCCTTCCAAATAAAAATAAATCTCAATAAAATAAAATAGGCGGCAATTTATGATATGAAAATAGCACCTTGACAAAGCTGTTTAGAAAAAATTTAGTAGCTTCTCAGTGCCTGCAGGATGAAGGGGGATCCTTGGCCAGGCATTTGGGCCCCGTGCAGTCAGCCACCATTCTCTCAAGTCTCTGCCTCACCTGTGCACACAGGGGCTTCCTCCCACTGGGTCCTATTTCTGGGGGGGGTAGTGTGGCTGTCAGGTGCAGCTCCCTTGAGAGGGTCTTGGCTGCCATCCCTTGGGACAAATGGAAGCCAGGAAGGTGGGCCTCTGCTTCGGAACCTGGGCCCAGGCCAACAGGGAGGGAGCACCTGGACAGGGGCCCACCCACCAGGGGCTGGGCAAGGGCCGAGAGGGTCCTCCGTGGAGCCACAATCTGACAGTGACCTCATGCTGAGGGAGAAAGCCCGGGGCAGCCTTTGAGAGCAAGAACCCACGGACGTCGCCTCTTGCCAGGCCTGGAAGATGGGGCCCAAGGAAGGCAAGCGACTTGCTCGGGCCCTAGGGTTCCACGATAAGAGCTCAATGGTCACCCAGAGAGCCGGACACTGGCTCTCCTGCAGCCCCGCCTTAGAACAGAAGCCCAGAGGACTGGCCCTGTGCTCCTCAGCCCTGCTCTAACCTGTGCTACCATCTCCCCCCGGGGCCAGGACACCCACGCAAGGCCGTGTGAAGAAACCCCGCTCCCACGCTGGAAGGCCGTGCGTCTCCAAGGGCCGACGTGGAGGCGCGTACAGAGTTACCTTGACGCCACGCCGCAGACTTTTGGACCTGAGGCCTGGATGGCGCCAGGCACTGCCTTCCTTCTGGCTGTCAGAGCTCGGCGCTGGGTAGGATGTGGCGAGGAGGAGCTTCTGCAGCTGAGGGAGAAGCAGGGGGAACAGGAGATAGGGCTGAGACACGGGGACAACAATGCCCGTCCCTAGTCCCCCAGAGACTGACCACACCCTGGCCCCGGACATCTGATGACCTAGACTGATGCCACCAATACATTAAGTACAGAAAAGTAGACTGGCTATCACTCACACACACACACACCCCAGTAACGTGTAAAACCTCATCAGAGTCAGTAACCAAATGACCAACTGTGACTCTGAGAAACCCAAACAGGTCCCAGATAACGCCTGCCTGCTCCCCTGCCACCATGCATACACTTGCGGTAGATACCTACTTGCAGCACGGCGCACGCGCACCCGCGTATATACACCACACACACACACACACACACACACACACACACACACAGGACTCCAGCTGCAAGAGTCCGCGCCAAAACAGTTCTCTGCTGTGGGATTCCAGCTGCCTTTCCTTTGTTCTTTTTGCATTTTCATGTGATCTTTTTTGAAACAATCAACTTCTGAAACAAGCAATGCTTGTAAATGGTAAAAGGAAAACAACTACACGCCACATACTGCAGGAGGACGATGACAAGCTGGTCTCCCTCCCAGCCAGAGGCGGCCCCCTGACCTGTGCACCTGTCAGGAGGTAGGTTTGATCACACCTGAACACACGTGCATACATGAGGGCACCCCAAGACGCTTGTGGAAAAAGGAGCCAGAAGATGAGTTTATTCTTTAAATCCAGAGCTGGGGGCTGGCACTGTGGCCTAGCAGGAAAATCCGCTGCCTATAGTGCCAGCATCCCATATAGGAGCGGGTTTGAGTCATGGCCGCTCTACTTCTGATCCAGCTGTCTGCTATGGCCTGGGAAAGCAGTAGAAGATGGCCCAAGTGCTTGGGCCCCTGCACCCAGGTGGGAGACCTGGAAGAGGCTCCTGGCTCCTGGCTTCATATCTGCTCAGCTCCGGCCATCTGGGGAATGAACCAGCGGATGGAAGACCTCTCTCTCTCTCCCTCTCTCTGTGTAACTTTGCTTTTCAAATAAATAAATCTTTAAAAAAAAAAAAAAAATACCCAGAGCTGACAGGCTCATCACTTAATGACACTGCCACCCCCTATCAGGGCAGCTGGTTCGAGTCCCAGCTGCTCCATTTCCTATCCAGCTCCCTGCTAATGTGCTTGGGAAGATAGTGGAGGATGGGCCAAGTGTCTTGGCCCCTGCACCCATGTGGGAGAACCAGATGCAGTTCTTGGCTCCTGGCTTCTACCTGGCACAGCACTGGCTGTTGGGGCTACTTGGGGAATGAATGAACAGATGGAAGATATCTCTCTCTCTCTCTCTCTCCCTCTCCCTCTCTCTCTTTCTCAGCTCTTCAAATAAATAAACTAAAAAAAAAAAAAAATTGAAATCCATGCACATGAGAGGTCTTTAGAAAGCTCATGGAAAACATGTAATGTGAAAAATGATTCATGCATTTTAACATTTTTGCACCTAAATAAACTCATCTTTGAATTCCATTTTCCACAAACTTTTTGGAAGTACCTGTGTATCACCTTGGATTCACCCAGTTGTTTTTACACAAGGGAAAGATCACGAACCTTAACCTTGCCTGAATTTTTTTTAAATTTATTTATTTGCAAGAGTTACAGAGAAAGAAGAAGAAACACAGGGAGATTTTCCATCTGTTGGTTCACTCCCAAATGGCTGCATGCCCAGGGTGGGACCAGGCTGAAGCCAGGAGCTTCATCTGGGTCTCCCACATGGGTATAGGGTCTAAGCACTTGGGCCATCCTTTCCCAGGCGCATTAGCAGGGAGCTGAATTGGAAGTGGAGCAACCAAGACTCGAACTGGTGCCCTATGGGATGCCGGTGTCATAGGCAGTGGCTCTATCTGCTATGGCACAGTGCCAGCTCCTAGACTGAAATTTTTAAAAGGATTTTTAAAGTACTTGGATCATTTTCTGCTACCTCGCCAGGATTGGAAGTGGAGCAGCCTAGACTTGAACCTGCGCTCCGATACAGCATTCCAGCATTGCAAACGGTGGCTTAATCTGTTGTGTCACAATGCTGGCCCATACCTTTTTTTTTTTTGACAGGCAGAGTGGATAGTGAGAGAGAGAGACAGAGAGAAAGGTCTTCCTTTTTGCCATTGGTTCACCCTCCAATGGCTGCCGCGTTGTGGCCGGCGCACCGCGCTGATCCAATGGCAGGAGCCAGGTGCTTTTCCTGGTCTCCCATGGGGTGCAGGGCCCAAGCACTTGGGCCATCCTCCACTGCACTCCCTGGCCACAGCAAAGAGCTGGCCCGGAAGAGGGGCAACTGGGACAGAATCTGGCGCCTGGACTGGGACTAGAACCCGGTGTGCCGGCGCCGCAAGGTGGAGGATTAGCCTAGTGAGCCGTGGCGCCGGCAATACCTTTTTTTTTCAATAAGAATTGTTGGACCTCTCTGCTTCTGCACCCCGACAGCAGCGTGCCCAGGCTTGGAGAGCAGGAAGTCAAATATACCTGAAGTTCTACCAAGGATCCTATCACAGCCAAGGCTGAGAAGAAGGTGATTTTGGGGCCGGCACTGTGGTGCAGTGGGTTAATGCCCTGGCCTGAAGTGCCGGCATCCTATATGGGTGCTGGTTCTAGTCCCGGCTGCTCCTCTTTCGATCCAGCTCTCTGTCATGGCCTGGGAAAGCAGTGGAAGATGGCCCAAGTGCTTGGGCCCCTGCACCCACGTGGGAGACCCCGAAGAAGCTCCTGGCTCCTGGCTTTGGATCGGCGCAGCTCCAAGCCATTGCGGCCACCTGGGAAGTGAACCAGTGGATGGAAGACCTCTCTCTCTGTCTCTACCTCTCTCTCTGTAACACTGTCTTTCAAATAAATAAAATAAATCTTAAAAAAAAAGAAGGTGATTTTACTATAGCTCCAAGTGTTTCCAGGGCAGACTCGTCACCTCAATCTCCCTGGCAAGGAGACTGAAGACCAAGGATCCACAGACAAGGCCACTGCCCACTCTCCCACCCCACCCTGCCCCTGACAGACACATAAAGGTCTCACGCTAGCACACATATGCTTGCAGCTCTGACTCCAGGTAGGGAAAGGTCCTTGAACTGCAGGAATGAGACGTGGGTCTAGCCCAGCTCAGCTCCAACTCACCTTGGACTTGGCATTTCCTTCCCTGGGCCTTAGTCTCTCCACTATATCATGAAGGGCACGTGGACTGAAACACTGGCCCTGAGTCTTATCCTAACTCTAAGAATATGACAGGAGCTGCTGACTGCACAGATACACAGAGGTCCACGGGTGGACCCTCCGGGATCAGGGCAAGAACCTGGTGTCTGGCTGACTTCTCAGGGCCCTGCCGGAGCTCTGTGGGGACGCAGGGAGTCTAGACAGTGGGTCTGCTTCCTGTGTCCCTAGCACACATGCGTGCAATGAAGGCAGGAGTGGGAAACGCTCTCAGGCCAGCAGGGGTCGCTCTTCGTCTCTCCAAGCTCTGGGCCCTGTCCCGAGGCTCCGTGTGGAAATGGCACTGGGAATTCTTGCTGTTGCATCCGTCGCTGATGCTGGCGCCAGGACTGTTACTTAGTTGGCCATCAGTGAGCACCTCTACGTGCCAGGCAGTGTTTTAGTGCAATCCTGCTAACTGACAGCCACATTCTTCAGCCCCGTTATGGCTCGTGAGGCTGAGTCATGGGGGGTGGGGTCCAGTCTGAGGGAAGGGACACAGAAGCACTGGCAGGGCTGAGATTCAAACCCAGGCTGTCTGACACCAGGGCAAAAGGAAGCAGGACTCCCCCCTCCCAACCCCGCAACAGCAGGAGCCACCACAGGGGACGGAACATAGTGTGTGCCTAGCACACAGTAGGTGCTTACTCAATGTTTCACACTGCTCAGGGGCCCCTGAAGGCAGTGGAAAAGAAGACAAACCAGGACTGGGTTCTGGTCTTTCTGGAACGCCGACCTGCTGTAGCCACGGGAGAGCCTCCCCTCAACCTACAGCCTCAGCTTCCCTGGAGCTGGGGTTGATGGTCACCACGGGCCGTTCCAGCTCCTACTCTCCATGACTTCCCGGGCTCCATTTTGCAGTGAGGAGCACAGGGAGGCCAAGCGAGGCAGGGCATCACCTGTGACATTTTGGCTTTGGGCACCCTTAGCCTCAGCCCAAGGCAACCGCTTTCAGGAATATGTGAGGTCCAGAGCCCTCTGGGAATCTGATAAAAGCGGGCATCGTCTACCGAGCAAGCTGCTATTCCACGCGCACACAGCTCCACATTCCACACCTGCTCACACCGGCAGCGTGGGAGTGTCCACAGGGCCGGCCCTCTGGAGGGCGTTCTGCAAGTACTGACTATACCACGTGATCCGTAGCCCCAGGAACTCCATCTCTGGGACTCAGCCACTGCCACAGGCAAAGGCCGTGTGACCACACAGGCTCACCCCAGAGTACAACACAGCCAACAAAAAGGATGGAACAGAACTGCGAGTGTTTCTAAGTCACACAGCTAAGAGAAGGAAGGTACGGAGCAGTGCACAATGCAGGTGCCCTTTTGTAGTAAAAAAAAAGAAAAAAACCAGAGCAGAAGAGGAAAGTCAAATAACAGACCAGTAACCATGGTTACCTTGGGGGAAGAAGAAGCAACAGAGAGAGGCCCGAGAAGATTTTCCTTGTAGCTGTCCACCCTTCCACGCAATTGTGCCTCGTGTATATAATCCTTGGGGAATCGCTCGCACGCCATTTCAAGGACTTAACACCCAGCTGAGGTCAACCCTGGCAACCCCACAGAGCCTGAGGCATGTGGGGAATGCAGGCAGTCCCGCTGTTCAGGTAGGAAAGATGAGGCCGGGGGTTCTCCCACCTGCAGGCTAGGCTCTGTGCTGGGAACCTCGCTGCCGTGAAGGCTGGGGGACCCCTGAGGGGCTGCAGCGGCAGGCACAGCACCTGCCACTCCTGCACGCCCCAGGCCGCCTCTGTCACTGCCGCCACACGTGGGTTCTCACCAGCGAGCGTTCGTCCATCGCAGGAGCTGGGGCCGGGGGGCTCTCCAGGGTGGGGCTGGGGGGTGCAGAGGAGGGCACAGGCGAAGCTGAGGTGCAGGACAGTGCATCTCCGCTGTCCAGAGCTGGGAAGGCGTCCAGCCCCACGTCCACATCGTCTTCGGGGATGTCTTCCAGGGTCTTGGTGAGTGCTGCCAGGAGGGCCTCATTCTCACTGTCGATCTGGAGGGAGGAGGCAGGAGGGGTGGGGAGGGTTCATCACCACCTGCACGGCCTGTGGCACCACCACCACCACCCCACTCCAGCCAAACCCTCCCTCGTCAGAGCTACTCAGTACTCCTGGGAGAGCAGATGCCCAAGTAACACGCTATCAGCTCTAAGAGCCACAGAAATTTACGAGCAGACAGCAGGTAGTCATGGAAAAGCCTGTCCGTGGAGCCCCAGCCTTGGCCCCGCTGCTTATCAGCATGCGTCCAGGGGCAGAGGCCTGTCCAGCCGGGCGACACTCGCCGGCTCCACCAAGGACCAAGGCTGGTCTCCCATGGCAGGCCCCAGCACCCCGGATCCGGGGGCCCAGGCACCATGAAGACTGGAAGCACCAGGGCTGCACACAGGACCACCCCAGCTGCCATCTCCTCATCGGATCCCAGGGCTCGCTCTCTGCTCTCACTCACAAGAGAGGGAGGAAGCGTGGTGGTTGCCAGCAAGGGCTCAGAACTGGGGCTCAATCCCAGCTCCCACACTTAGCAACTCCAGGCGGTTGGACAAGTGAGTTTCGTCCTCTGTCAACTGTGGTAACAAACAGACACGATTCTGGGAGGTTCTTGTTGATGACCGGGTAAGTCAACAGAGCTGGGATGCTGAGGGGACTTGAAAAACTCCATGGAAAATGGGAATTAGAAGATAAGCTTATGGGGCAGCTTTGTGGTGTGGTAGGGTTAGCCGCATCCTGCAACACTGGCATCCCATATGAGTGCCAGTTTGAGGCTGCTTCCCTTCTGATCCAGCTCCCTGCTAATGTGCCTGGGAAAGCAGCAGAGGATGGCCCTAGTGCTTGGGTCCCTGCACCTACATGGGCGACCTGGGTGAAGGTCCTGGTTCCTAGCTTCAGCCTGGTCCAGCCCTGGCCATTGCAGACTTTTGGGGAGTGAACCAGCGTATGGAAGATCTCTCTTCTGTCTATCCCTCTCTCTGCAACTCTGCCTTTCAAATAAATAAATCTTCTTTATTTTAGATTTATTTTTTTTGAAAGATTTATTTATTTATTTGAAAATCAGAGTTACACAGAGAGGAGAGGCAGAGAGAGAGAGAGGTCTTCCATCCGCTGGTTCACTCCCCAGTTGGCAGCTACAGCCAGAGCTGAAGCCAGGAGCCAGGAGCTTCTCCCAGGTCTCCCATGCAGGTGCAGGGGCCCAAGGACTTGGGCCATCTACCACTGCTTTCCCAGGCCATAGCAGAAAGCTGGATCGGAAGTGGAGCAGCCGGAACTTGAACCAGTGCCGACATGGGATGCTGGCACTGCAGGCGGTGGCTTTACCCGCGACACCACTGCACCATCCCCTTTTATTTATTTCAAAGGCAGAGTTATGCAGAGGAGCCAGGTGTTTCATCCGGGTCTCACACATGGGTGCAGGGGCTCCCAGCACTTGGGTCTTTCACATGGATAGCAGGGGCCCAAGCACTTGAGCCATATTCCACTGCTCTTCCCAGGCACATTAGCAGGGGGCTGGATTGGAAGTAGAGCAGCGGGACTAGAACCGGCGCCCATATGGTATGCCGGCATCTCAGGCAGCGGCTTTACCCAGTACGCCATAGCGCTGGCCCTCCAGGAACATCCTGAATTCCCTTCTAGCGCCTAATACAAAATAAGCACTCCCGACCTTCACGACGAGCACCAATAGGCTCCCCTCCCTTGCCCCGCCCCGCGGCCACTGGAGACATCCTGTGCTCCTGAGGCCCCATGAGCTCCCCCCGCCGGCCCCCCGCAGTGCAGGGTTCAGCACTGAACAACCAAGACCATTCCAGGGTGTGAGGGGCTGGGGAGGAAATAGAAGGAAGCCATGCTGGACGGTTGGCCCTGGGGAGGATTACAAGGTGCTTAGAAAGGCTCGGGGCACCCAGCGTGGCCAGCAGAGGAACAGAAAGGCCGTGAGTTGCCTGCCTCGCTAACCCTGGCGAGGGGAGCCCTGTTCCAGCACCCATGAGGCTCCTGGAGGTTCAACAGTGGGTCGAGGGTCCCCTGGCGTGGCCCGTGCACGGTGACTCATGGCTGCTGCTCCTGTGTGGAGTGCCGGCCCTCGGCCCCCGGCCCCCGGCCCCCGTGCCCAGCGGCCTGGAGTTGCTGGTAGATGTGGGCCTGAGTATCTCGAGGGAACTGTGCTTCCTGGGGCTGCACTGGCATTGGCCGCCCGGCCGTCACACGATGCCTCGCTCCGCGCACTTCCCATTTATAGAACAGAGCTAAGAATACAAGAAAGGCTAATAGAAGTCTTTGGTGGAACCTGACCCAGGCTCCGGGGATGCAGGCTCCTGGGCAGATCAGGGCCATAGACTCTGGCCATTAGAAGGCAATGGCGGGACGGCGCAGTGGCTCACTAGGCTAATCCTCCACCTCGCGGCGCCGACACACTGGGTTCTAGTCCCGGTCGGGGCGCCAGATTCTGTCCTGGTTGCCCCTCTTCCAGGCCAGCTCTCTGCTGTGGCCAGGGAGTGCAGTGGAGGATGGCCCAAGTGCTTGGGCCCTGCACCCCATGGGAGACCAGGAGAAGTACCTGGCTCCTGCCATCGGATCAGCGCGGTGCGCCGGCTGCAGTGGCCATTGGAGGGTGAACCAATGGCAAAAGGAAGACCTTTCTCTCTCTCTCTCACTGTCCACTCTGCCTGTTAAAAAAAAAAAAAAAAAAAAAGGGCAATGGTGGCTGGCGCCACGGCTCACTTGACTAATCCTCCGCCTGCGGCGCCGGTTGCTCCTCTTCTAGTCCAGCTCTCTGCTGTGGCCCGGGAAGGCAGTGAAGGATGGCCCAAGTGCTTGGGTCCCTGCACCCGCATAGGAGACCAGGAGGAGGTACCTGGCTCCTGGCTTATGATTGGTGCAGCGCCGGCCGTAGCGGCCATTAAGGGAGTGAACCAACGGAAGGAAGACTTTTCTGTCTGTCTCTCTCTCAATGTCTAGAACTCTACCTGTCAAATAAAAAAATAAAAATAGAAGGCAATGGGGCTCCCTTGGCTGTCCCCCAAGTCTCCCTCTTGCCCCTCAGCCGGACTGCCCGCTCTATGCTCCCAAACAACGCGTCCAGCTTGACAAGTTGTTCAGACCCTGGAACCCGAGCCTCCTTGACCTGGGGCATGACTAGGGGCATGACCCCGCAGGGCTCTGCCAGCAGTGGCTGGCCCAAGGCAAGTCACTTCTCTCCCCTAAATCCCTGCTCTCTTCCTGTGAAACAGGAGGACTCGCCCTCAGGCCAGTTTTCCTGCCAGGGCCAGCATGAAGGCCAAATCTGGAAGCAGCGATGAGCGGGCAGGGCGGATGCAGCCGAAGGAAGGAATGAATGAGACAAACAATGAACAATGGCAGCAGGCCGAGCTCATCGTCAGAAAGACCAGATTCCCGCGGGACGCCATCCAGGCATGACGTCAGCAGCCTTGCGTGGAACGGGAACTCTGACCCTGGCTCCGGGCCGTCTGATCAGCGACTTCAAGCACGGCTCGGGGCTCACTTCCCAGACAGCTCCTCCTGTACCCGCCTCTGTTTTGCTGGGGTCCAGGCAACCAGCACCCATCAATCACTGTGGAAGCTCGTGGGGAAACCTACCTGTCATTCTTTTGGGAGGAGGGGGCGGGGCAAAGTCAAAGTCATAGAGAGTGAAGGGGCGGGGTCACAGGTGAGGGCCTTGGGCCCTGGAGGCCAACACTGACCAATCGGGCTTCCTGAGTGCCAGGCATGAGGCCGACATGCGTACACTATGGCGGAGACCTCAAGAACCACCCATCAGGACAGGTGAGGCCAAGAGGGACTCACAGAAGGCCCCCCCCTTGCACCCCAGTCTGGGCTGTGCGATGGGAATTCCTGCCCTGCACCCGACACATCCCAGCGAGCCGGCTGCCCTCTCCTCTTCTCTGGGCCCATTAGCTCAGCTCTCCCTGCTCCCCGTGGAAGCTGAGTGCAAATTAATGGAGGGTTAATCAGCTGCAGAAGGGATATTAATAGACCCAGCCCCGCCCCCAGCCTTCCTGGGAGGTTCTCCAGCCTTCAGGAAATCTGGGGAAATGCTTCGCTTTGAGCACCCTGAAGAGCCAGCGACAGAATTTTCACCCTCGGGGCCGGAAGGACCTCCAGAGCCCACAGAGCCCTGGGGGCTTCTCGGAGGCCTGGGGGACCCAGGGAATCCGGGCCCCCAGTTTTCTTGGAGTAGATCTATGCTTTCATCTGCACCTAAAAGGAACCAGTTTGCTTCTCTCTCCCTCTCTCTCTCTGTATCTCTGCCTTCCAAATAAAAATAAACAGATAAATGTAAATAAATAAAAAATAGAGACTGGACCTCTTGCTGGCATTTGGGAAGTGCACCGGTGGATGGCAGATTTCTCTTTCTATATAGATGTGTGTGTGTGTGTATGTGTGTGTGTGTGCGCACGCCTACACGCATGTGCCTTTTGAGTAAATGCAATCAATAAACGGACCCAGTGACTCTCTCCTCCACCCCCAGCCGATGAAATCCTCCAATCCTGTCTGTGTTCCTGCCTTGTTCCTCACACAGGGGAACTGAGCCCCAGCCAAAGGGAGCTACTTGCCCACGTGGGTCACAGCGCAAAACACCCAAACACCTGCTTCCTCCAGAAAAAAATCTACTGACATGGAAGGCAACATCCCTGTCCCCTAGAAGCTGTCAACTTGCTAACCGTGGTTTGTTCCCACTCTCCCAGTGTTCCCAGGCGAGGGTGCCCTGGGACTATTCGAACCCCGCCCGGACATGGGCAGCAGGCTCCAGGACTACCGCTGGCCCCAGGAGGCAATCGCCCAAGCCAGCAGCAGCAGCAGGGTTAGAACTCAGGGCCCTGGATCACAGCTTGCTCTCAGAGTGGGTCACGTCTGCGAATGGGCACTTACACTGTGTGGGCCCCCGAGATGCATAAGATGATTTTGTTCTCAAAGAGCTTGGGGTCTGAAGGACACACACACACGAGAAGAAGCAACTGACTGCCCACCCCGGAAGGGCAGAACCAAGAACTCAGGATCACAAGGGACTCTCATCTGACGGCGCCAGGCACTATGCATGGCCTCGGAACACAGCAAGTGGAGACAGGGACAGGGCCTCATCCTGAGTAATGAGGAGAGTTGGTCGGGAATGCAGGCCGGGAAGGGGTGAGGGACGGGTGGGCAGATCTCAGCCAGGGCTGGGGGCCTGAGGGCCACACCAGACTCATGCAATGTTAGGAGCGGGGGGTGGGGTAGGGGGAGCAGAGGTTCCTGGGGGCATGGTCAGTCCCCGAGCGGGCAGGGGACCTGTGCAGTCCAGGTGGGAGTCGGTCTGCAGGTGGCATCAAAGTACCCTCTGCACACTGAAAGCATTTTCTTGGAGTCAGGGCGGGAGGGAGGGAGCAACATGGCAAAGGTATGGCACCCATTGTTCAGCTAAGGAAATGGGGGTCTCCAGAGGGCCAGACCTGCCAACTCCTAGGTGGGATGGCAGCAGGGGATCTCAGTGAGCAGCGGCAGGCCCACATTCCCGGCTTAGAGTCTGCGCCCTGACTCCTGCAGCTCCGTGATCTCAGACAAGTCACTTAACTGCTCTGAGCCTCACTCCCCTAAGAGTACTCCGCTTCCGGCTGAGAACACCCTAGGGAAGAGCGCCAACTCCCTGCGGTGCCCACGAGGCTCTGCACGGTCTCTGCCCCGCCCACCCCTGACCTTAGCTCCCAGCACCTTCCTCTTTCAGCCTTCCGTTCCTCCCACACCGCCAGCCCGTCCTGCCCTCAGCTCCGCGACCCCTGGTTCTTAGAGGTTCACGTGGCTGCCGCTGCGCAGCCTTCAGCGGACACGAGTCTGCCTGCAGGGGCCTCTCCCGACCACCCAGCCCGCGGAGCCCTTGCTGTTCCTGTTAGGTAGGAAGTCAGTTATGGGCTTGTGTGTGTGTGTGACATAAAGGCCTAAAGAGAAGACATCTATGTCCAGCATCTGCATCTCAAAGTCATCCTGACATGTTTCAGGGGCAGCCCGGTATTCACATCCTGCCCTGCCCCCTTCTACCTGATAACCTGCCAGGTGGAGGTCCCCGACCCTTCTCCCTGACAAATCTTCCACAATCTCCCAGATGCAGCCCAGTAGCTGCACTTCAAACACCCTGCTTGGGATTCCCATTCTCCAGGGGTCTTGCTCACCCTTCCTCTAAACTTAGGATGGCACAAGCTAGGCTTCCTCCTGTCTGATACCTTCAGGGGAAAACTCAGATAGAAGTTTTTCTATTTACATCCAAAAAGCCCTTTGTTCCAAGAGGAGCAGAGGTGGGGAAGCAAGACCCATCTCCTTAAACACCCCCCCCCCCAGCCTCAACCGGACTGCGCGCTCAGCCCTCTGCCTCTCTGCTGGGCCGCCCGCCTGGTCTAGCCTGGTGTAATCTCTCCACCTTGCTCCTTCCCCCACCCCCCAGTCCGAGCAACTGCACTCTCTCCCAGGTCCTTTCTGGAGAGGTGCCCATCCATTCTTGCTATCTTACCTCCCACTACTCTCTGTCTCACGCCTGAATTCTTTCTTGCGCAAAGACAAGAACCCTGCATTTTCTCCAGTAACATTCCCAGCTTCACTGCCTTCCAAGTGCTCGTCAGCCACAGTGCTGTTCAGGTTTTACTGATCCGCCATGAATCTCCCCCTCCAGACTGAAGTCCACAAAGAACCCTGGGATCGATAAGCGCTTCCAGGAAGCGATAAAATCCACGGGGAGCACCACGCGGCAGGACCCGCGGCACCCCAGCATGGCGCCTGGCACACGGGGGGCTGTCATTGTTGTGTTGCCAGAAAGGCACAGCTTCTGCCCCCATCTCCATGGGGGAGAAAACTTCAAGACTAGAATGAGGGATCTGAATGCACCCATCCCCCAGCTTCCACGTGGCCAATTTCGTCTCCTCTGTCACCCTGCATGCCACACACCCACACGCACACCTGCAAACGCGGGCAGAGCTTGCTTCATTTGGAAGCAAATGTACACATCCTATTATTCCTTCTCAGAGGCCTCCGAAAGGGACACGTCAGGCAGCACGTGGCCCCGAGGCTGGGCGCCCAGCACAATCGGTGGAGGGAGGCAAAGGCACAGTGGCTCCTGGCACTGCCTCTTGTGAAAGAACCCCTAGGCTCCAACTGAAAAGCCGAGATAAGCGTCTTTAGGACTGGGGCTTGTGAAGAGAAGCACACGGGTTATGCAGACAAACAGGGCCGGTCCTGCTGCCACTCCTTGCATAATCAGCCTGAGTCATTCTCATTAGGCTGCCTTTGTGGCTAGAAAGCCTGGGCACAGGAGGCAGGCGGGCTGGGTCTGAGCCCAGTCCAGTGACTGACTAGGTAAACTGCCCTAGCCACACGACTCAGCCCTCCAAGGTTCAGTCTCCTTATCTGTCAAATGGGAAGCTAAAGGATCCACAATGCAGGGAACAGAGGGCCTGGGGCTGGGATCTGCCTGGGGGGCATAGACAGTGGCTCAGGCCAGCTCTCCATTTCCAGAGGCAGGACACAGGCCAGGGGAGGGGCGGGTGCTGTCCCAGAGTAAGTGCAGACCAGCCACCGCAGCAGGGTCCCAAGGTCCGGGGGCAGGTGAGGAGCCTTCTTAACAATGAGCGAGTGCAGAAGAGGAGCATGTGGGGTAGCAGGTGGCGAGGCCAGGGGAGTGTACCTGGAAGAGCTCCGAGTCGTCAGGGCTGTACTGGCTGGGCTCGGGCTCGCAGCTCTCTGGGCACCACTGCAGCTCCCCAAAGCAGGTGGCGGACTCAAAGTCGCTGGCGTCCAGCTGGGAGAGGTCAAGCTCGGGAAAGTCGGCGCAGAGCTGCTCCTCCCCGGATCCGCCGCCCTGAGGAGACAGGAAGGAAGAAGCAGGGTCAGAGCGCAGCCGGGCCGGCCCCAAGCAGGGCCCCTGCGGCGCACCAGGCTGCCCACCCAGATCCCTGTCCGTGGCCAGGAAATGCCACAGGCTGCCCCGCCCCGTGCCAGGCCCTGGCAGCACAAGGCCTCTGCTGCTCCCTGCACTCCTACAGAGCCCTTGAGGCCCTGCCCACATGACACACTGGAGCCCCCATCTGTGCGGGGATTTCTTACCGCTAGCAATCCCTCTGCATGAATAATGAAAGAAAAACAGCAAGAACAATGGCAGACATTACTGAGTGATTACTAGTTCCTACAGAAACACTCATCCATGCTCCCAGAGGTTTCACAGGAGTACTTGTGAGGTCTAAAGCCTGGAAGGCCACCTATTAGCAGACAAGAGTTAAAAAAAAAAACCCATGGGGCCAGCACTATGATGCAGGCGCTTAAGCCATATCCTGCAGCACTGGCATCCCATATGGGCGTCAGTTCGAGTCCCTACTGTTCCACTTACAATCCAGTTCCCTGTTTATGTGCAATGAGAAAGTAGCAGAGTAGTAGAAGATGGTCCTAGTGTGTGGGCCCCTGCAGCCATGTGGGAGACCCAGAAGAAACTCCTGGCTCCTGGCTTCAGCCTGGCCCAACCCCTGTCATTGTGGCCATTTGGGGAGTGAACCAGTCAACAGAAGATCTCTCTCTGTGTCTCTCCTTTTCTCTCTCTCTCTGTAAGTCTGCCTTTCAAATAAATAAATAAATCTTAAAACAACAATAACAACAACAACAAAAAACACACCCTTGGCTCGTATTTTGGCGCCATGGGTAAAGCCACCAACTATGATGCCAGCATCCCATATAGGTGCCAGTTCAAGTCCCAGGTGCCTCACTTCCAATCCAGCTCCTTGTTAATGCACCTGGGAAAGCAGCGGAGGGTGGCCCAAGTGTTTGGTCCCCTGTTCCCAAGTGGGAGACCCGGAAGAAGCTCCTGGCTCCTGGCTTCAGCCTGGCTCAGCCCTGGCTGTTGCAGCTGTTTGGAGAGTAAAGCAGTGGATGGGAGACCTCTTTGCCTCTCCTTCTGTCTCTCTGTGACTCTGCCTTTCAGATAAATAAATCTTAAAAAAAAAAAAATCCCTAAGACACTTGTATCATGAAGCACTAGTGTTGTTGAAAAGAATGGGAGACCTGTGTGTTCTCCAAGGCACATTAAATGGAAACCTAAAATGTAGTGGTAAGCATTGGACCTAGATGAAGACACTGCTTGGGATGACCACATCTTACAACAGAGGACCTGGGTTCAAGTCCCAGCTCTGCCTCTGAGTTCCAGTTCCTGCTAACGTGCATCCTGGGAGCAGCAGGTGAAGGCTTAGATACTTGGGTTTGCTGCCAATCACATGCGTTTCAGGCTGCTGGCTTTGGTCTGACTCAGCCCCAGGTGTCATAGGCATTTGTGGAATGAACCAGCGGATGGGAGATTCTCCCCACCCCCATTTCAGATAATAAATAAATAATTAACACGTTAATAACAACTAAGCTGAAAGATACTGGCATGTGGTAGATAATCCCACAGGTGTAAAGAGACAAAAATCAAACCCCGCATCTCTCCCTGGACGGGAACCGGAATTAAAAGAGAACGCAAACCTTCCCTGAACTTTTTGAAGCCCCTGCATCCGTGCACACACACAGGAAAAGCTCCAGAAGGTCACAAGCCCACCTGTCAGTGGTGGATGGGGAAGGGCTGGGGGCCCAGTTTGGGAACAGCATTGCCCAAATCAGTGGCTCCCGAGTGTGGTCATGTGTTACATCAGAAAGACTGGGAATGTTCAGACTTCATCCCGGACCTTCCGATTCAAGTGCTGGCTTTCTCGCTCTGGTCTCCCAAGTCTAAGACTCGTGGACGGAAGGGTGCCCTGCACACTCAGAAACAGCCTGGGGGCAGAGGCAGTGCCAGAAACCAAACACCACAGGGCAGCTGAGTCCAGACCCCTGTCCCCACTGCCCCTCCTGTAAAAGGGGACAACAACTCAGACCTTGTATGCTTGAGATCGAAAAAGGCACTGCTATAGCACAGTGGGTAAAGCCACCGCCTGCAACGCCAGCATCCTGTATATGAACGCTGGTTAGAGTCCTGCTGTTCTACTTCCCTGCAAGGCAGCGGAAGATGGCTCGAGTACTTGAGTCCTCTGCCACCCATGTTGGAGACCCAACCCTGGCTGTTGTGGCCAGTTGGGGAGTGAACCAGCAGATGGAAGATCTCTCTCTCTCTCTCTCTTCCTCTCCCTCTCCCTCTTTCTATGTTCCTCTGCCCATCAAGCAAATAAATACATCTTTGACTAAACAAATAAATAAATAGGAATTAAAGAGGCAGCACATAGCCTGGTCCAGTAGGATCTCAATGGCCATCGGCTAACAGCACCGAGTAGAGATAACGGAGCAACAGTAGGGAGGGAAACAGCCACATTTCACAGCAGCCAGGGGTGGGAGCTGTCTCGGGCAACACAAAGAAGCCGTGTGTGACACTTACAAGAAGTAGGTTTTGCCCAGGCCTTTTCCTTAATTGTTCCCACTTACTAGGCCTCATAAATTATGAATAAATGTGTATTATTAGCTCAACTCAACACAGGAAAAAGGCTTTTATCCAAATTTGGGTCAAACGTCTTAATTGGCATTCTGCGAGAATCCCGCCTGCACGGGCAGCACCAAGGCCAGGTCCTCGCAAGCAGCCGCCTGTGCTCTCGGGCCGGGCAGCACGGGGCCCAGCAGGTCTCTGCCTCCAAGGCAGTGCCCCCATCACTGCTGTTCTGCACCCGCCTCCCCTTTCCCCAATCCACACGGATTCCACAACCCGAAATACTGAACAGCCGGTCATTCTGCACCAGGCACAGGAGCCACAGCAGGGGTCAGCCAGAGCCAGGGTCCTCTCAGAGCTCACCACTGGGGGGCGGGAGAGGATGTCACTACACACACAGTCACACGCACAAAAAAGCACCTGATGGCAGCAGTCCCGGTTATCCGCGGCTCAGTTCCCTGCAGCCAACCACACTCTGAAAACATTAAATGGAAAACTCCAGAAGCAAGCAATTCATACATTTTATTTCTTTTTTCTTTTTTCTTTTTTGACAGGCAGAGTGGACAGTGAGAGAGAGAGAGACAGAGAGATCTTCCTTTTGCTGTTGGTTCACCCTCCAATGGCCGCCGTGGCCGGTGCGCTGCGGCCGCCACACCGCGCTGATCCGATGGCAGGAGCCAGGTACTTCTCCTGGTCTCCCATGGGGTGCAGGGCCCAAGCACTCGCCATCCTCCACTGCACTCCCGGGCCACAGCAGAGAGCTGGCCTGGAAGAGGGGCAACCGGGACAGAATCCGGTGCCCCGGCCGGGACTAGAACCCGGTGTGCCGGTGCCGCAAGGTGGAGGATTAGCCTAGTGAGCCGTGGCGCCGGCTTCAATTCATACATTTTAAATCATACACATCTCTGAGTGGTGTGCCAAAAATCGTGCTGTCCAGCCCGGTGCCAGGTGGGACTCAGGTGACCCAGCCCACGCTGCAGGCAGTGCTGCCAGTCACCCCCTCGCAGACCTGGCCGTCGTCATGATCTGACCCACTGAGGCAGTGCTTATTATACTTAGCAGTGGCCCCGGAGTGCCAGAGCAGAGATGCTGCCATTTCACATATGCTATAAGGAAGTGCTCCGTTTAAGCGAAAGGCCAAAGCTCTTGACTTAATAAGGAAAGAAAGAAGAAAAAAAAAAAAGCCTTATGCTGAGGTTGCTAAGATCTATGATAAGAACAAATCTTCTATCCGTGAAATTGCGAAGAAGGAAAACGAAATATGTGCTAGCTTTGCTGTTGTGTCTCCAACTGCAAACGCTCCAGCCACAGTGCGAAAGTGCTTAGCTAAGATGGAAAAGGTCTGCTATGGATAGGAGAAAACAGATCCATGAATCTCTAGGCTTGGTTTCTTGCCTCTTGGTTTCAGGCACCCACTGAGGGTCCCCAAGGGTAGGAGGGCGACCTTCCAAATCCTGACTCTCCAGAGGGTGGCTGCATGCAAGACAGCTGATTGGCCTCCTGTCCTGTGCCATTTCCATCACACCTGCGATGCCTGGGTACAAGTTATTACAAGGACACACGTCTTTATTTCTCTTGGTAAACACCTAGGAGCAGAATTGCTGCGCCATATGGTAGGTGTGTGTGTAGCTTTATAAAAGCTACAAATTGTTCTCCACAGTGGCTGTACCAGGGTACACTCCCATCAGCCAGCTCTAAGAGTCTACTCAGTTCATGTCCTCACCAACACTTGTATTGTCAGTTGTTTCCATTTTAGCCATCTTAGCGGGTGTGTTTAAGCCCAGTGCTGCACTCTGAGCACTGTTCCTTTGTGAGCTGACATCTTCATAAGGAAGAAAACTCATCAATCCTGCATTTCAGACACAGTAAGGGCCATGAAACAGAAAGAGACCACATGTGCCGGTGCGGAAACACAGAGGCCGTGGGATCCGTCCTACGTAGGGGTCAGGAGGGCTTCCTGCAGGAGCAGACAGCGGAGTTGAGTTCTGAAGGATGAGAGAAGAGGTGGAGCCTTGCAGGCAGGGGGGACCGGCGACAACAAGGACCCCAGTGCAGTGGCCCCCAGGGCACAAGGTGCTGAGCTCAGGGCAGAGCGGGCGGAGGGTGGCAGAAGACACTCGCGGGGCAGGTGGAGGCCGGATCAGGAGAGGATTGCGAGGGATTTGGGTTTTACTCCAAGTGCGATGGGGGTAGGGCCTGCCTGCAAGCAGGGAGATGGGTTACGCTCCCGTAGCTACCCAGGCGAGGGGCAGGCGCTGGGGCAAGGAGGCCTCACTGGGACACCTCCCAGGGCCTGTGGAACAGGACGTGGGGCCAGAAATACAGACACAAGGACTCAGGACAGCTGGGGCCTGCCTGTCCAGCAATGCCCCAGCAACGAGCTTAGGGTAGCTCTTTCTCTTTGTTGCAGATCCCCTCACCCCGGT